GGGGTGGGGGACGGCCGAGAGGAAGAAGGGACGCTCAGACGTCGAAGGGTTCGACGATGAGCAGCCGGGGTGGGCAGCAGCAGCCAGGCGCGCAGGGCCAGAGCGCGGTCGGCGGCCGTGGCGAACCACGGTGACCCCGACGGTGGCAAGGGTGGCGGGAGGGCGGCTGCCAGCAGCTGGTATGGTGGGCGGGCGCAGTGGGACACCACGAACGGCAGAGGTACCGCGGCGCGCCGAGGAGTAGGCACAGCACTGAGCCGTGCGGAAGCGGGAGCACAGCAGAGGCACTGACGGGAATTGCGGCGGCCCTGGGCGCTCCAGGTGGCTAGGGGGCCGGGAGAGGTGGGGCAGGAGGCGGTGGGCAAAGCGTCCCAGGCGCCCGCAGGCGGCGGAGCGGAACAGCAACGCAACTTGGATCTAGAATTGTGCCAGAAAGCCAGCCTTGGGACTTCAGCACCGCAAATAAATCATCGTAGCTGCTGCGTCTGGGCAATGAGAAACCATAACAGAACACCAGTTTGGGGACGTCAGCAATAACATTTTTCGAGCATGTCGTAAACTGCAGCGGCGCGGCAGATTACGAATCAAGGATCCTTGGGACGAATGCGCTCGGCGCTGAGGCGAGGGCCAGATTTTGAAAAGGAGCTACCCTACACATGTGAAGTGCAGGCCGATGTTTAAGACGAGAATGCGCGGCGCTAGAGCGATAACCACAGTTTGAAAGCCATCAGCGTTCCATCCGCGAAGCTCTTCCAAGCTTTTAAGACGATGTGCGCTGCGTTCAGGCAAGAACGGTATTTTGAATACACCCCCCTTCCGTCCAAGGAACGCTTGCAATATTTGAAGCTAAGATGCGCGGCGCTAAGGCGAGAACCACCTTTTGAAAACGACCCGCCCCTCACCCGCGAAATCCGTGCAAACTGTTAAGACGAATGCAGCAGGAGTAGGAACGGGGTAGGAGTTATCTGCCAGGAAGAGGGATGGAACAAGAGGACGAGGATGAGGAGGAGGAGGAGGAACAAGAGGAAGAGGAGGAGCGGCGAGGACGAGGAGGGAGACGGAAGGGGCAAGTTGGAGGACGACGGAGGGAGTCGGGATGCATGTGGGAGCAGGAGGAGGAAGGATGAGGAGGAAGTGGAGGAGAAGGAGGAGGAGGAGGAGGAGGAGGAGGAGGGGGAAGAAGGTGGGGGACAGACGACGATGATCACCCTCCGCCCTCCCTCTCCTCCCCCCTCGGTGGGTTGAGATGCGGGAGGGGGAGAAGGATGAGGAGGACCCTCCCTCCTCCCTCTTCTCCCCCCTCTCCCTCCATCCGTCCCGGGCGCGGTGCCAGTGGGGCAGCGGGGCGGGGCGCGTCGCAGGCAAGGCGGAGGTAGGAGGGAGGAGTGGGATCGAGGTGACTGCCTCCCCCCGGCATCATCTTGGTGCTGGACCAAGAAAACGGTCCTGCTGTTTTCGGACTCAGGGGGCCCTCGCTGGGCTCCGGCACCGTCGAAAAAAGACCACAGGATGGGAAGCCCGTCCCGTCGAAGGGGTCCAGACCACTGCGGGAGCCACGTTGTCAAGAATCATGCCCCCCGGCCCTTTCCTCCTCACCCTGCGGTCAGGAGCGTGTTTGCTTAGCGTGTCGTGTCAGCCTGCTCTGGCCCGCCGCGCTCCGGCGCGACACGCTGAGCACGTCCCAGTCCTGGAGCGTCAACGTCCCGAGCCTTTCCCAGCGTTCCGCCCCGCGGAGCGGGGCGGCGCGCCATCAGCTTGCAGGGCATGGCGTGTCGCAGGGGCCGCCAGCGAGGCACGCCGAGCAGGAGTTCCTGACCTGCAGCAGAGCATGCGAGCTCCCCCTGGCCGGAGAGGGCACGAGCGGCGGTCCGGGCTGCCTGGGCCGCTGCTCCTCTCGGGCCTCTGGCTTGGGGCTGTTTCGGCCGACTGCATGCGATTCCGGAGGTGGGCCGAGCAATCCGCAGCTGGCCAGCTCGGGTGCTCCGTGCCAGGCATTATGAAAAAGATGCCTCGCATCGAGAAGGGATTGTTGCTTGGCCGCAGGGGACTGGCATAGGGGGTGAAGCATCGACGTGGAATCGGCGATGCATCGCCGATAGATCGACGATGGGCCGCCGATAGCGAGTCCGCACGTTCCTGGGCTGGGTGGGACTATACGACCCCACATCGGCGATCGATAGGCGATTGGGGGTCGGTGTTTCCCCCCCTGTGCCTATCCCCACCTATCGTTGCCCCTCATCTTCCTCCCCTGATTCCAAGAAGGGATTGGCACCTCGCACGCGGCCATGCCCCGCGAGGGAGGGTGCCACTGGGCGGGAGCCCGCGCTCTTCAGCGGGCCAGGCGGTGCCCCCGCCTGGCATTCTGCGGAGCTGGGCTTGCCGCCACATCGCGGACACCTGCGGACTCCATCGATGTCCCTCCCACCCTCGCTCAGGGGCATCGACCGGAGGGGATAGGCATAGGGGGGGAGTCATTGACCCCCAATTGCCGATTGATCGCCGATGTGGGGTCTGATAGCCCCGCCCCGCGCAGGAACGTGCGGACTGGCTAGCCTGGGCCCATCTCCGATCTATCGGCGATTTGTCAACGATTCCATGTCAATGCTTCCCCCCCTCTTTGCCAGCCCTCCCCGTATCGTTGCCCCGCCCCCCCCGGCCTCCTCTATAGACCTCCGACGTCGTGGTTTGTTCTCACTACCCGGGCTCAGGAGGTCTGGGCCCTCTCCACGGGACCAGCCTTCGGCATCCTGGGTTGTCTTCTAACGGCCCCTTGCCCTGGGAAGGGCCCCCAGAGCCGGAACAGTTGCAACAACTCTCCGTTGCGAGTTTGCCCTCAACGAGAGGAGGTCTTTGTCGCCCCGTCCCCCTCTCTCCCCCGCCCCCCTCCAGGCCTTCAGACAGCACATTCGCAGCAATTTTGGCATCGGTGCCCTCGCAGAATGTGGGCCCACATGGTGCGGACCCAGGTCTGGTTCCGAATTCCAGGGGAGGGCTTCGGTCATTCAGAACGACCAAAGCCTCCCGCGGAACGACAGAATGACACACCCCGTTGCTTAGCGATGGCGAAAAGTTCCATGGACAAATTGTGGGAGGTCCGAGCATTTTTTTTCGGATCGGCGCTGGACCCCCCTAGCGGCGCACTTGGCGCCGCCCCCAGCGCGCTCCTCCAGCTTTTGCAGATGCGTCGTCTTCTACGTCGACCTATTCGAATTGTCATACTAGTCTTCTGCCTTCTCTTGATCTTACACTTGCTCTCGTCAACCTTCCATCCTTCCTTTCTCTCTCCTTCCTCTCCCCGCTCTGCCCACGCTCTGGTCTCCATCGCATCCTCCATCCTCCCCCTCCTTCTTCTTCTCCTCCTCCTCCTCCTCCTCCTCCTCCTCCTCCTCCTCCTCCTCCTCATCGCCCGTATCATTCCCGTCCTCGTGTGTTCCACCTCGTCCCCCTCCTCCTTTCCTACATAACGCTTGGCCATTCCCCTGCTTCCCGCACTTCCTCCCAGGGTTTCAGAAAGCAGTCGAACTCAGCTGAAAGCTTCAGAATACCTTGTTAGATAATTCCGCGAACCTCCAGAAGACCTAAATCATATTTGGCATAGCTTCGGCATCTTCAGTCGGCCTCTGCTGCGAAAGCGTTTGGAGTCATGCGGACAAATTCGACAGCCTCCGCAGACGCCCGGACACCTTGACCTTCTGCAAGACTCCGCCAACTCCCCGTGAAAATATCCCGAAGCCGCCTCTTCCTCTTCCTCATGCTGGTCTTCCTCCTTCTCCTCCTCATCATCACCATCATCCGTCGTCCACACTCCGCCTCCTCCTCCTCCTCCTCATCATCATCATCATCCTCACCATCATCATCATCATCATCATCAGCCGCATCATCATCAATTTCATCAGACTCATCATCATCATCATCATCATCATCATCATCATCATCAACAGCATCAGTATCATCATCATCACCAGCAGCATCAGTATCATCATCATAAGCATCATCATCATCATTAGCACCATCATCACCCTCATCAGCATCACGATCACCATTATCATCATCATCATGTTCATCATCATCATCAGCATCAGCACCATCATCATCATCTTCATTACCATCATCATTACCATCATCATCAGCATCAGCATCATCATCACCTTCCTCAACTTGATCACCATTTTTGTCTTCGTCGCTCGGCGTCGGCGTCAGCGCTGTCATCATCGTCGTCGTCATCATCATCATCATCACTACCCATCCTCCTCATGCTCCCCATCTTTCTCCTCCCTCTCCTCCTTCTTCCTCGTCCTCGTCCTCCTCCTCCTCCTGGTCCTCGTTACCATCTCGTCCCTCGCTCCCCTGAGGCCCGACGCCACGGAAAACGTAGCATCTTAGACATGCTCGGAGCCCTGTGCCCAATCTTCCCGCTGCCATTTTCGAGCAGGGTCGACCCGCAGGGGCCCTGGGCCCGGACCAGGGCAGCGTGGCCTGCTGTGGCGAGATGCTGCACGAGAGTCTCCGAGCGTCCCCTCCCCCCCCCCCCCTCCCGCCCGGGGTGTGAGGTGCCCTGCTGACGACCCCGCGATGCCCAGGCCCCCCCAGCCTGAACCCCAAGGGGTCTCGACCCCCCGGCTTCTCCTCCCGAGTCATCGCTTGATGCTGCCTTTTTGAAACGTATCCCTATGCGTGTGTTTGGCACCACCTCGCCTCGATGCCGATCCGAAGGGTTCCATCCGTTTCTGAGGGCACATCCCTACAGTCGGCCCAGATTAGTAGGTCGACCCTGCCAAATCAAGGGTACCCTTGCGTCCTGTGTCTCACGATCCATGCTTCCTACATCCCTGTGGCTATGTGGCACTCGGAAGGGTCTTGTGTCCTCTCGCGTGTCCTGCCCAATCGAGTCCGACTGTCAGATTGTCCTCGTTTTTTGCTCGCCCATCTTAGGGATAGGGATAAGTTCGAGGCTGGTTATGACGGCCCCTGTGCCCTGCCAGGGCACGCAGGGGCCGACGATGAAGATGCGCAGCGGCCTTGCCTCGTGGCCCCACGCGCGGCGCGCACACGTCCGTATCCGCGCCCCCGCGGTCTGCACTTCAGGGGGGGCGTGATCCCCCCCTCACCCCCTTCTCCCCCCCTCCTTCTCCTCCTCTTGTTCCTCCAGTTCCTCCTCCTCCTCCTCCTCCTCCTTCTCCTCCTCCTCCTCCTCCTCCTCCTCCTCCTCCTCCTCCTCCTCCCCTCCTCCCCCTCCGTCAATCCCTCCTCCCCCCCTTCCCCCCTCCCCCCCTTCTTTCTCCGCAGCCTCCCGCCGTGCGACCGCGTTATCCGCGCGCGAGGCATCCGCGAAACACGGTCGCATCCGCGGGGTCGCGCCCCCAGGGGCATGGCCCGCGAGGCCACGGATACGGATATGCTTGTTGCCCACGAGTGCTAGATGTTCCAATCTATTTTCGCCTCGACCAACAAAAAGAATTTCGAGCACCAAGAACGTACCGAAACTGGAGGGGTTTCACGTGTCGGGCCCTGGGAGGCAATACTCGTTCGACACTGTTTCGGTACTCCTCTGGGTGCTCGGAATTATGTCTTAGCTGTTGTCCGTAAGCCCGGCGGAGGCAACATATCGCAACAAGCGGATGGCACGGTCTTCCTCCAACGCCGCCGACGGCAACGACGACGACGGTGGGCGTGGCCGCCGCGCCCGCGCGACTGCGGCCAGGACGCCAGCGTCGAGGCGGGGCGGCCCGGCGCGCCCGAGCCGAGGGGAGGCGTCGCCGTCCTTCGGATGTTGTCGCCGCCCGTCGCCGCCCTCGTCGTCGTCTGCGGAGGAGGAGGAAGAGGAGGAAGAGGAGGAGGAAAAGCAGGAGGGCGAGCAAGGATCCCAAGATCTTGGCGTCGCAATCTTGGCGTTGCGATTCTGCCATGTGTGGGTCTAAGGACCCTCACGGATCGATCCGGCTCGACAATTGCCGCAGAACCATTGGGTCCAGGGTTTTGGTCGTGGTTTTCCAAAAAGATGTTCTATTGTCGCGTCGTCGTATCTCGGGGGAGAGGAGGGGAAGGAGGAGGAGGTTTTATATGCGGAGGAGGTGAACGAGGGTCATGCTGGGATGAAACTAACGAGAGACTGCACCGCGGATGCTCGTGGAGATGTATGTGGAGCGTGGGGCAGCACGTTCGTTAGCACGCTCGCGAATGTCGGAGATGAGGAGAGGAGGGGGAGTAGGAAAAGGAGGGGGTAGGGAGGGCGAGGAGGGCGTGGAGGGGGGCGAGAAGAGGGACCGGGATGGGAGTACTCGGGGGGGGAGCGGGGGCGGATGAGGAGGAGAGGGAGGACAAAAGGGCGAGCAGGGACAGGGCGGGGGGGGGGGCGGCGCGTCGAGGAAGGTGGGGAGGAGGTCGCGGAGGCAATGCCTGGAGAGGACCGGGAAGAGGTTGGCCTGTCCGATTCCGCGCGGCTGGCCCGCGCGGCAGGCCGCGAGGCGGTCCGTCGGGGGGTCGCCGGGCGCGTCGCGTCGGACGGGTCGCTCGGAGGCCAGGGGCGAACAGGATTGAGTCAGGCCTGTCCTTCTACAGGAGGGATATTTCAAAGATAGTCAGAACAGAGTCCGGGGGCGAGTTGTTTTTTGGAGTAGCTTTGCCCAGTTTTTGGACCATTTGTGGGGTATGTTTAATTTGTCGCAGGAAATCCCCCTGCATGGGGACAGGCCCGACCTGAGAATAGGCAGTGGCCAAGGGTCCAGGGTCCATGCGTATGGCGCGGTGCAGAGAGGTCCGTGCCCCCGAGGATCGAAGAAGCTGGCATCTCTGGCTCGGTGGAAGGCAGCAGTCAGAGGCTGTTACAGATTTTTGCGCGGGACCAAGGCGCCCAATAGTTCACGCCTCATGCTTGGGCGAAACCGCTCGATCCGTAGATGCTGCGGTCAGAGAAATGAGTAAACTAATCTGCGAGGAGAAGCGTTCATCATTCAGAGCAAGTCACCGGTGAACATCGTCGCCGATACTGCTGGATTCCTCTGCTGCCACGCCTTTCGGAAGCGAGGCAGGGATCTGGACGGCAAAGGGCACGAAAGAGCACCTTGCTGCTTTCCCAAAATTTGTCAATTTCAACTCCATGGCCCATCCCAGGAAGCCACGACATCTGCGCGAGGCACACTTTGATAGTGAAAGAGCACCTTGCTGCCGTCCCAAGGTATGGCAACTTCAGCTTCATGGCCCACCAGGAAGCCAAGAGATCTGCGCGAGACATACATGCTTAGTGATTCGACTGCCAGAACCAGCAACGAGAAATTAGACTTCTTGGCTTGGGGCCATACGAGGTTCCTGCGTATATGCTCACAGTAGCCGCTGAGGTCCCAAAGGCGGAATCCATAGAACTGGTTTGCCGGAGGAGCTGAAGCTTTTGCTGACAAAGACTGCATATACACCTTTTCGAGAATGGATCTTCCAGACTGGTGGGCCATGGCGAGGTCAAGGTTCCCACATCCCCACTCTCTGCAGTCTGGCTGCCGAAGCCCAGTCCAGACACGGTAAGGTCCGGATATGCAGCCAATAGAACACACATTTGACCCTGAAGTGTTTGTCTTTTGCTTGGGATCCAACCATATATATTCATATATATATATATATACGTTCAGGATGGCACTCGGCAGTGCTTTTAACCTGCTCATTACCAACAAGGAAACGATCATGGAAATGAGGACTCGATTGCTTCCATGAAGCCTGGCTACCCAGAACGGAAGCCACCCCAATGTGGTTGAGTTTGTGGGAGAATACCTTCCCAGCCCTCGTGCATTGATCGATGGATATCTCTGGATCGACAGATCGCTCTGCGGGATGAGTCTCAAATGCGGGATGTTGCATGGCCCCAGACTCCCAGAGTTCTTGTAGGCGATAGGCCTCAGAGGCCAGGAGGGAGGACGGCCTGGTGCTTTGGCTCCGCTGCACGGCGAGATTCATACGGACACCCCGATGTTGCTGAACGAGAGTGGCAGCAATTCTTCTTGGACATCCCCAGATCATCACGAGCGCTTCGCGGCCCCACTGGCGGAATCGACAGTGCGACGATGGTGGTGGTAGTGATGGAGATGGCGATGGCGATGATTACAAGGATGACTATGATGATGATGATGATGATGCTGATGATGATGATGATGATAATGATGATGGTGGTTGTGGTGGTGGTGATAATGATGATGCTGATTATGAGGAGGAGGAGGTGATGGTGACGACAACGACGGTGACCATGATACTGATAAGTATGAGGATGATGATACTAATGATGATACTGACGACGATGATGATGGTGATGATGATGATGATGATGACAATGCGGAAGAGGATTAGTAAGAGCAGGGTAATGATGATGGCGATGATGTGTACAATGATGATGGTGGTAATGATGATGTTGGTGGTGATAATGACGGTGACGATGATAATCATGATGGTGATTACGGAAATGATGCTGATGCTGTTGATGGTGCAACTGATGATGGTGGTGATTGTGATGATGGTGTTGATGACAACGAGGATGCTGATGATGGCAATGATGGTGTTGATGATGGTGCGTGCGATTATGCTGCTGATTCTGACGATGATGGTGTTGATGATGCTGATGGTGGTGGCGAGGATGATGCTGATGATACTGATGAGGACGATGGGGATGATGATGCTGACATTGATGATGATGATGCTGATGATGATGGTGGTGGTGAGGATGATGAGGATGAGGATGATGGTGATGATGATGCTGATGTGCATGATGATGCTGATGATGGTGACGCTGATGATGGTGATGATAATGACGATGACGATGCTGATGGTGAGGATGATGGTAATGATGACGAGAATGATGGTGGTGGCGATGGCGATGATGCAGAAGAGGTCTATGGTGCCATCTTGCGGAGGTCACTCCAGGCCTCTGGAGTTCTCCAGACGTTCCGCCGAGGACTTCAGAGGCCTCCAGGGGGTTCAAGCGGGCCAACCAGGCCCAACAGCCTCCCACGCCCTCGAGGGGCGACGAGCTGGGGTGGCTTGCCGAGCAGCGGGTGCGCAGGTCTGGGGGGGCCCTGCGCATGAGCGCTGTCGTGCTGCTCGCATCGCGCGCGGCTGCCTGGTTGGATGCGCCAGAGCTCAGAGGGGCTCCTCAGGCCGCCTTAGGTATGGCCTTCAGTCTCATGGGCCGGCAGCCTGATCCTGCCCAGTTTGGCTCAGAATGGGCATCGTAAGGGCTCAATCTGGCCAAATCCTGCCCTGCGGTCACCGAATCCCGCCCAGTAGGTTTTCATCGCGCCTGCGAGTACCACCCAGGAGTTGCCACCTCCATCTTACAGGCGTTTGTCGCGTTCCCCGAGGTCGGGTGCGAGGTTCTGCAGAGCATGGCGGCGTGCCCACCACCTCTGCCCAAGGTGATGGTTGGCGTGCGCCGTCGTGGGCATTCGAGGCAGCATCGGGAGCCATCGAGTCAAGCTGAGTAAGACCGACCTCTACTCCGTCCCTCTTACCTCCTGTACTCCCGTAGGACTTCTCGAACATGCGCTATCACTCGCCTAGTGCCATGTGCAGCTTATCGCAATGCTTATATACAATTCTGCATAAGGTGAGACTCCAGGCAACCATTTCTCATTCCACCTTTTGGTTCGTTTCTCATCTTCCTGCCACGTCCCCTGTCCCGCAGGTGAACGATCTCGACGAGGTGGTGCTGGTGGGTGGGTCCACTCGGATTCCCGCCGTGGTGGAGCTGGCGAAGTCGTTCTTGCCAGTCCGTGCCTCAGCGCCTGGGTCGCAATGGTATGCGGCGCCGAAGCTCACTACAAAAACAGGGTGCAGGGCCCCGTGGACACGGGCTGGGGTCCAGAGAAGGAAAAGGATGCAGAGGCCGAGGCCGAGGCGGAGAAACATGGGCAGCGGGAGTTTTCTTGGATTCTCACCCTGTACGAAAAGCAACCAGCGGGTTTGTGTGTATACATGCTGTTGCGGCTGCATCTCTCCGAGTGTGTAAACATTCCAGTGTCCACGCAGCAAACGTTATCGTTTAAGCATTTCGACTCCTGGTGAGATGCGTGCTCTGCGCGCGCACGTGCGCTGGAATGTACACGCGCGCGCGCACATGAGTCAACGTGCACTGCATCTTCCGAGACGGCTGTCTTCCTCGCGCCAGGAACGCCAGGCCCAGGTGAGCCGAGCCGGGCTGGAGATCACCGTGGAGGGGCTGCGGCAAACAACAGACGTGCAGGGAAGACCACAGATGGCCGGCCTGGAGAAAGGCACCCCGCCTGTCCGCCCGCTCTCGGCCGCGACATCTTGCCGCGCATCCCTGCCCCTCGAAGCGGGCCCGCAGCGCGGGCCTTCGCGCTGCCGCGGTTCCCAGGCTCCCAGCGGCGGAGCAGATGCGAGGCGGGCGGGCGGGGAGGAGGCCAGGGAGGCAAGCGCGCGACCACGGAGGAGGAGGGAGTGCGAGTGAGATTCGGAGGGAGCGTGAGCAGTGGCAGGAACATGCGCTCCCTTGCCGCGAGACGGGCGCAGTGACTCACTGCATGCGCAGGCTCACGCGCTCACGCGAGCCCGTCTACATGTGTAGAATGGTACGTCTGTACCGTGAGCACATGCACGCGGCAAGCACACATGTTTACACACCTGACCATGCACATACTTTCACAATGAGCTCACTGATATGCACAGGTTCTTGCGCTTGGTATGAACGATTGAACGATGAGTTTGCGCGGACGCCATTGCGAGTAACATGCAGAAGCCGTGTTTTTGGACATCACCGTGCTTCACGTCTCGAGAAATGATCTGCATAGTTTGAGCCGAGGTCGGGAAGACTTTGAACCAGAGCGTAAATCCTGACGAGGTGATGCTACACTTGCTCTGCTCGGCTATAACCTGGCTGCCTCCCGCAGATCCTCCCCGTTACGTTTCTCGTTGCTGATCCCGTGGCTGCTACTCATCCTGCTGTTCAGTTTGCTTCTCGCTCTCTCTCTCTCTCTCTCTCTCTTACTCTCTCTCTCTCTCTCCCTCTCTCTCTCTCTCTCCCTCCCCGTCTTCGACTGACTGGCCATCATCCTCATTCTCGTTATGCTCCTATGTATATACATCGCCCTTGTTCTCTGATTCTCTCTTTTTTCTGTATCTATCTCTGTCTCTTTTTTTTCTTGTTCTCTCTCTCTCTCTCGCTCTCCTTCTCTCCTTCTTGTCTTGAAGTGCATCCAGCTATTCCTGCATATCCTTCAATTCGTGCCGAGCGTCCTCCTGCTTCTCTTGAGTATGTCCATCCTCGTCCTCCTCCTCTTCATCCTCTTCTGCCTCCTGCTCCATGAGGAAGGCTCGGCGGTGAAGAAGAAGAAGGAGAAGAGGAACCAGGAGAACACATAGCTGGAGAAAGCACGAATGACTGAGAAAGAGAAGGGAGCACGAATGGTTGCAGAAGGGAGGGGTGGAAGGAGGAGCACCGCCTTCTTCACCCCCTGCTCCGTCCATCTCCATCCTCCGCGTCCCCCTTCCAGGCCCCTCAAAAAACAACACAGCTACTCAACAACAGTACTACTACTACTTAGAATGCTTACTACTCTCATTTCTTTCCCGACGGCGTCCCTGGAGTGTCCTGCCCTCCTCCCGTGTGTTGGTTCTACAAACTGAATGTCAACTTTCGATTGTTCCCTGAGGATGTTTCGCCACAGGCTTCCGATAGAGGTAGAACTCGTCTACAGGAGAGTCCCACAGGGGGGGGGGGCAGGGAGCTCGAAACCGCCTGGGCCGGCGGCCGGCTTGGCAGCCTGTGCAGCAGTTGTTTCAGGCGGGGAGGGCAGCCAGGACAGCGAAAGAAGAGAGACAGAGGAGAGACGCGCGCGCGAGAGCGGATAGAAAAAGAGAGAGAGAGAGAGAGAGAGCGAGAGAGAGAGAGACCGCTACGCCGCGCGGGGGTGGATCCGAGTCCGTTTCTGGATCTGTCTCCTCGCTCTGTTTCCTTCCCTCGCCTTCCCCTGGTCCTCCTGCTCCTCCCGCTACTCCAGCCCCTGTTGCTTCTCATCTTTCTTATCGCCATCCTCATTCATCCGCCACCTCCTCCTCCAAATGCGCACAGCTCACCTTTTCCGATTGCGCATGACACAACATAATCATTTTGGAGGCTTCAGGGCCGCTACCGTGCATGTCCCCCGTCGGCGGATAGAAAAAACACAAGCGCATTGGGAAGGGTTGGGTAAGAAGGGTAGAATGTCAGATTTGGCACGAGCGTTCTAAGCTTGCCTTCCTCTTCGTTCACCTCGCTCCCTCCTCTGTTCGCCTCCTCCTCGTCCGCTCCCTGCTCCTCATCCTCCCCTTCCTCGTCCTCCTCCTCCTCCTCCTCCTCCCTCTTCGCTCCTCCTATTTTTCTTCCCCCCTTCTTCTCTCCCCCCAACTCCCTCCTATGTCCTCCGCCCTCCCCCTCTCATCGAGCCGCACGATTGTCACTGCATTCGGTCCTCCTCTATCTGGCCTTTCCCTGTCCTCCCCCCGCCCACCCTCCTTGCTTCCTTCCTCCGCCCTCGACCCATCGGACCCAGAACTCCGCCCAAAGTCGATCCCTTGACACCTCCCCTCCTGGGGTCCACCATGCCAAGCTTTTCAACCCAGAGATCAATCTTCCACGGCCCCGGGGCCCAAAAGGGGCCTCCAGCCGCCGGAAACAACGAACAGTTGGTTCGACCTCGACCTTCGGCCCGTCGTGCAGTGATGTTGCAGGCGCGCCAGGGCCACACGAGCGGGCACTTCGGTGGATCAGGGCTCTGGAGAAATCTGCAGCCGCGGGTCGGCATGCGTCTTAGCTTGGCCAGAGCCGGATCGGCCTTGGGTGCCCACCGCTGGTGCCGCCGACCCTGTCCGTTAGGGCGAGGGGGAGGAGAGGCAGAAGAGGCGTAGGAGGAGGAGGAGGAGGAGGAGGATCCAAAGAAGCAATGGGGGAGAAATCGAACGGGAAAATTTCTCCAAGAGAGGATTGCTGCCCGGGGGACCACTTTGGGACCCTCTTTGGCTTGGGACCACCCCTGGCTAGGATCGGCATTGGGCACACAGATCTTCGTAAAGGACATGGTGCTGGTGCCGCGGGTCTACATACCCTGGATAATTACACACTCGGCCTTGCCAGGATCTGTGAGGCGGTCCTTCGACCCATTCTCCCTCTCCACGCCCTCCCTCCCCTCCACGCCCTCCTCCTCCTTCTCCTCCTCCTCCTCCTCCTCAACGCCCTCCCCCTCCTCCTCCTCCCCCTCCTCCTCCTCCTCCTTCTCCTCGCTCCTCCTCGCTCTTCGCTCCTTCTCCTCCTCCTCCTCTTTTTCTTCCCCTTCCCGCTGCGCAGATCTGCTGCTCGGGCAGAATCCCCCCCGGGAGCCCCCCCCTCGCTCCTCTGATCCTCCGCTCCCCCGCCGCGCCCGCCTCGGCCCGAGGCACGCGCCCCCCTCGCCTGCCGCACCACGGGGGGCCGCAGGCTCTCCCCCCCCACGCCCGAGGGCATGGCGGTGGCCGCCGCGGGCGGCGACGACGCCCGCGCTGCGGACTGCTACTTCCGGGGAGCGGGGGAGGCACGGGGACGCGGGGCCCAGGAGGCCCGGGCTGAGGAGCCCCGCTGTGCGCAGAAACTGGGGTGGGTTCGGGGGGGGCTTCTTAGACGGAGGTTGCTTCTCAGAGGTCGCGGACTTTAGTTGTCGGAGGTTGGGGGGTGAGATCGCAGTGAAACGGAGACCCCCCACCGGGAAATCGGTTTTGGTTTCGTGTTCGTGTCGTGCGTGCGGGCGAGGCGAAGTTGCGCGTGATCTTCCTGTAGCTAGGCCAAAGTAGGAGCGAAAGTCCGTTCCCCTCCCCCGGTGGCTGGGAGGTGTCCCAGTTGGGCCGGGCGGTGTCCCGGGTGTCCCGGGTGTCAGTAGGAGCGAAAGTTTGTTTCCCGTCCGCCGGTGGCCTGGAGGTGTTCTAGTTGGGCCGGGCGGTGTCCCGGGTGTCCCGGGTGTCCCGGGCGTCCCGGCGTTAACGCATGTCGCTAATTTGATAATTAATTTTTGTCGGCGCCTGCGGCGGGCTTTCTTATCCAATCCAGCTTATCTGATCCAATCCATCAGGTTCAATCCAATCCATCTCATCGTATCCAACCATATTGTCCAATCTTATCCGGTCGCACCCAATCCAATCCACCCAACCCAATCCATCAATTCATATGTTTCTGCGCCTGCGGCGGGCTTTCTTCTCCAATCCATCTTATGTTATCCAATCCACTTCTTCCAATCAAACCCATCTTATCAATGGTGATTCTTAACCGTGAGAAAATAAAGGTTAACCGTGAGGAAAAAACAATAAGTAAACACAATACGTAACAGCAATACATACATGCGAGAAAAATCACATAAACAACAATACGTAAAGACAATACGCTAAAACAATACGTAAGAAACCATACGTAAAAAACAATACGCAAAAACAAGACGGACAAAACAATACGTAAAAACAACACGTAAAGACAAACACGTGAGCGCCACACGTAGATACAACACGTACAAACAAAACCACGTGCACACAAAAACATGTACAAACAAAACCACGTACAAACAACAACCACGTAGAACACACAAAACCCCGTAAAACAACCAATACGTGAAGCAACACGTAAAAACAAGACGCAAACACAATACGCAAAAACAATAAGCAACAACAATACGCAAACACACTACGCAAAAGCAGTACGCAAAAACAACACGTAACAACACCACGTACAAACAAACACGTGAGCGCCACACGTAGATACAACACGTACACACAAAATCACGTAAACACAATTTTGTTTACAAAAAACAATACGTAACACCAATACGTAAACACAATACGTGAAACAAATCAATACGTTAAAACAATACGTAAAGACAAACACGTGAGCGCCACACGTAGATACAATACGTACAAACACAACCACGTACAAACAAGACCATGTAAAAACAATGTGTCAAGCAAAAAGTGACAAAAAACATAACGTACAAACAATACGTAAAAAAACAATAGTCGTGCAAGGCGTAGTGTTGTCGTAGTCGTAGTGTTGCCGCAAATCGTTGTCGTAGTCGTAGTTGTGCTGGTGGATGCCGTCGTGCAGGGCGTCATGTTGCTTGTCGCAGTCGTGTTGGCGTCGACAATCGTGCTGGTCTTGATGCTGTTTGTCGTAGTCGCAATTGTGTTGCTGGATGCCATCGTGCTGGGCGTGGTGCTGTGGGCGTCATTGTTAACCGTGAGTGTTGGTATGGCATTATTAACCGTGTGTCGTGGCCCCACAGGGAGCCCCACCTAAGGTCACAGTGGCGGTGCTCGCATGCGTCTCCCCCACCCAGGACAGCGTTTCGTGGCCCCATAGGGAGCTTCACCGAAGGCCCCAGGGAGCCCCACCGAAGGCCCCACTGGGGGTGTTCGCATGCGTCTTCCCCGCCCAGGGCAGCGTTTTGTGGCCCCATAGGGAGCTCAACCGAAGGCCGCAATCGGTGTGTTCGCATGCATCTCCCCCACCGTTTCGCGTTCTCCTCCCCCTCCCCACGTGGTGTTTTTTTTACGTGTGTCAAACGCAAGTGTACGTGTATTTCGCGGTGTGATTCCGTGTTGTTTACGTGTTATGTTGTCTACACATCGTTTTACGCATTGTTTGTCATGTGCTGTTTCTGTGTGTTGTTTTAGCCTGTTTTTTTATGATTTACATGTTGGTGTGCGTGTTGTGTTACGTGTTGTCTTGACGTGTTGTCTGTACGTGTTGTTTCCATATATATATGTATATGTGTATATATATAAACACCGAACATCTGGAATATATATATATGTGTATATATATAGAAGTATGGCGCGACACGCCACTGCAGTCTTGACTAAACATATCTACATATATATATATATATAGATGTAGATATGTTTATCTAAATGTGTGTATATGCAGAC